ATTATCTCATTCGGAGTGCAGGGATCGCTACTCCGCTTCAAACAGTACATAATTACTGTATTAGGCCATGTACGAGCCCGTCTCCAGTAGGTTACGAAGACGAAGTCTACACGGTATCAGAAAAAGAGTATCCGCCTGATGGGATCCCACTGATCAGCGTTGAGGTTCGTGCATCAAAGTTAAGGGGTAGGAACCAATTGGCACGCCAATCACGTGCGTGAAGCCGCCGGGGATCCTCCTTCAGATTGATGTCTCCTACTCGCCTCATCTGCATCCCATTGTCCTTCCTTCCTGATAGCGAATGCCCAATTAATCATCCGCAACCAACTGTCTCTTTTAGTCTGAGGTTTAGGGGCCAGAGTTTAGGCAGGCGGTTCTTATATTCACCTTGTAGTTTAATCTTGTTATTGCCTTGAAGGTCTGCTAGCGTGCTGTGCTAATGCCTGAAGTCTTTTCGCCCTATCTAAATACTTGTTTCAAGCTACACTTAGGGATGAAAATGGCCTTAGTGTATTATGCGAACCGTCATATTTTTTAAAGTGGTGATTTAAGTTGGGGTCTCTTAGTTGTACTCTGAGCCATTTTTCGGCTTTCTGTTTTGATGGATGTCTTATGCCATTTGTTGCTATGTGCATAAGCCGTAAGATAACAGAAATGAGAGAGAATTTACTGATCACTTAATATGTACCTGTCAATATATTTGGCAATAACCGATATCAATTTTACCAATTTTGTTAGCTTTGCGGCTTAAAAATAATTTCATGCAATTTTTTTGAACTATTGCGGTTTTTTTATTATAGTAATATTTTTTATGAGCAAAATACTAGTAAATTATATTTGTTTCATTTAATCAGCTTTTCGGCACTTCGACCGATACGATCTTTTGTAATGCGAGTGAAGCATGTCCTGTTCGATCTCGATGGTCTTCTCATAAACTCAGAAGATATATACACGGCTGAGTTGTCTAGGTTCCTTTCAAGTTATGGGAAGGAATATAGCTATCAGGTGAAGCGCCTTATGATGGGTCGCAAGCCCTTGGAGGCTGCCGCTATTATGTGCAGAGAGTATAATCTTCCCATGAAACCTGTTGAATTAGTTGAAGAATACAAAAGGCTGTTTCCGATGGAAATCTGGCACACTGCCACACTGATGCCAGGAGTGCAAAAACTGATCGAATATTTTAAGGAAAATTCTATTCCTATGGCTGTTGCTTCTGGCTCCATGTCTCAACAAGTTCCACACAAAATGTGGAATCATAGGGAGGTATGGCAACATATTAGTCATGTTGTAGCATCTGGTGATGACCCAGAGGTGAGTATTTTCTATTTTCGACTTTCCTGCCCTATACCTATTTGAGTCCTTTGAAGTGAAACTCATTTATTTATAACCCATTTCTTACTGACCAAATAATTATTTTTAAAGTTGTTTGTTTTCGTTAGAATTCTTCACTGCTGTTACTCGCTGCATTTTGTCGAGATAAAATGCCTCATATTTACATTAAATCGCTAATTTATCACATCTCCATAGACCATGCTAATAATTCGACAGCTTGCGTTATAATCTTGGTTCATACCTTAATCCAAAATCTTATAAGGTCTTGGTTGACGATTTTCGCTTCTAAGAATCAACCTTTCTTTGGAATAAAGCAGCCCATTTATTTGCGCTGCTTGAGCAATAACTAATGACTCCTTGTCGCAATATTGTTTCAGTAGTTTTTGCCGATGGTAATTTGCATTTTATTGCTTCTTTCCCAACTATGTCTTGACTCACGTCTTGGTGTCTTCTAATTTCCTCTTTGTTTTTTCTGTCATACTACGATTTATCACCCCAGGTAAGTGCTCTTTTTATGTGGACTTGAGGTCATCTTCTGGGCATTCTGGATCAAAAACCATGGCTTTATCTCCAGAGACTAAACCATATCTGCTTAAAAAAATGTAAGAGGTGTGTTGTTTAAAGTAGGTCTTAACTTCAGCTTGCTTGGCCTTTTATCTACTTATGGAATTCAAGATCACACTCTGTTAATGACCATGGTTACAACGGAGGTTGACATCTGGGGTATAGTTGGTACAAACTTCTCTGGTCTACTTTTAATTGTGGAGGGGTAATATGAAGATGAGTTCTTGTTTCTCATCGCACACAATTCGACTTGTGTCATTGATTTATCATGTCGTTTCTTCGCCGTCCTTTGAGCTACTTTTTTATATTCATTATGATTAAGGCAATGAGATTATCTGTAAACGTAGCAAATTATGACGCTTTTGCTAGCTAACTGGCGGAACATCGCCAAATTTTTATTTAAATGTCATTCTACTTCCTAATTGTGAAAAGTCAAGAATATGCATATTTTAGACATTGATAAACTGTAACTCACTTACTCCAGGTTTTGAGAGGCAAGCCCTCGCCAGATGTGTTCCAGGTCGCACTAAAGCGATTCAACGACCCACTGGCGCGTCCAGAAACAACACTGGTCTTTGAGGATGCCTGGAACGGTGTGCAGGCTGGCTTGGCAGCGGGTATGTTCGTAGTGTGGGTACCCGAGGCCTTTGAGGGTCCCAATTTCCCTGCCGATGCTGACCTCAATGAGGAGGAGAAGACCCGTGTTATACGCCTCAACAGCCTTGAGGAATTTGATCCCTCTCTCTTTGGTCTGCCACATTACTAGATGCTTGAGGTCAGTTGTCCCCATGCATTTTTCATTAAAAACTGTTTGGAGTATAGAACTCTAGCACCTCGTTTCCTCTTATTCCATTTCAGGCGCTTTTTCCTGAATTAGAATGGAATTTTTCATGGGTAGATATAACCTGTGCAACCTGCTATGTTCACTTGGGAGATGTTCGACAATCTGGAAGTATAAATCACAATTAATGGATTATTTTTTGTCATCTGAGTGTCCAAAATTATTCCCGATATTTCTATTTATCAACAGCAAACCGATTCGGTTATTGGCAAGCCTAAGAAACACTTGTATAAGCGGAAATTTATCGCTCTAGCTTTGGGGAAGCTATTTTTGCACCTAAAAAGGATTGATTTGCTTTGAAAGAGGTCGTTGGACGATTTATTTAAACACGCATTTACGTTCCATCCTGTTTCGACAGGTGAAAACATCAACAGCCGACCTACCAGAAGGATACGCATCTAATTGTGTCTTCATGGTTTTCCTGTAAAAAATCTGAGACCACCTCAAAAGATTAAAATGATGGCATTTTCCATTTAGCTTTCAGGCAGGGGCACGCAATAGAATTGTTAATGAGGATGAGGTGGCCATAATATTCCGTTACTTGTAATTGCAAGTAGGATGTGAAGCTGCTCGGTATCGCTCTTGTGCGATGCTTGGTTGCTCGAATGTGGTGTCTTTACACGAATGAACAGAAGAATTAAGTGAGGATTTGCATTTCTGGTGTGTGGTAGCATACACGCTTTTGCGTAACAAGACGAGTCCAATCTGATGGACCGAGAGAGTACTTTTGGATGGAATGGGTCTGAACTCTGGTCTATCTGACCCATGAGCTGTTGGGACTATGTAGCTCTCCGAGCATTTGCTTAAGTCTTAGACTTGAACGGGCGTGGCTAGTGCCGACCACTTAGTTGAGGATCTTAGAGATGGGGTGGGAGTTGGAGTCCGCATTGGAGATGCATTTAGGATGAATGGGTGGCTGTTACAATATTTTGCATATGTGATGTTTAGCGGCGACTTTGGTATTGGTCTTGCCATTGTACGCATGGGTCAGCCTTTGGGAAAAGTCAAGGTCCATTCTATTCTGGAACAAATTGTTCAGGTGAATTTGATGCAGTCTTTGACATAGTGGGAAGTCAAAAACGCTACATTGGTAGTAACAGGAACAGAATTCGATTTTTCATCAGAGTCTTCTATCCTACTATCCGTCATTGTTATCAGATTTTTACAATACGGAGGAGGTGCATTTGAATCAAGACTGGGGGATCTCTGAATTCTAAATAACAGAAGGGTAGTGGATGATGTCTGCGTTTGGTTACACCCTGGCTCGCGTTCCACAGGCAGGCTACCAACAGCTGAAGCGACACTGATGTGAACCATCAGGGAGAATTTCGTATTGGAGTACTTCCTACTACATCTGCGTTTAGATGGCGAAAATGACAGTACTCCGGATCTACCACATATGAGGCTGTGTTAAAAATTTGCATAGGCTAGTGTTTCAACGTCAAGGCCTGGAATCAATTGGTAGTCTCAGGCCGAGCCTACTCTCGATACAGTCAAAGGTGCTGTGATGATCAGGTGTAATGCTTGAATCTCGTAGTAGCTGATGATGAGTGTGGATGTTTCCTTGTAGCACCGGATTTGCGGTGATGGCTGATGTAGCATCCCAAGACTTCCCGCCATGTGGAAGAGGGCATCACGTTGAGACGAAGGCATGCATTTTTAAGGGAATTTAAGGGTATAGGGCAAACCCATGCGTTCAAGAGCAGAATGAACGCCAAAGTAATCGCCAAACGTCAGGTTACTCATCGCAATACGTTCGGTGCCGCAGGAGGACACGCGCGGACTAAAAATGCCAATCATCAACTTCCCCAAGAACGAGAAACCGTACCTAGTTTATTCAATACCTGTAAATGGAATCAAAGTTCCGTTTGGTCTGACAATTGGAATCAGGACAATAAACGTCTCTTGGCCATCATTTGTTCCCATGTCGTGGCATTGAAACACCTGCATACAACATTCCGTTATGTGAGGAGCTTTATAGCGTCATTCCCACCATCTAAGCGTAGATGTAGTAGGAAGTACACCAATATGAAATTCTCCCTGATGATTTACATCACTGTCGCTTCAGTTGTTGATAGCCTAGCCGTGGAACACGAGCCAGGGTATAACTAAACGCAGACATCATCCTCAACTCTTCTGCTGTGAAGACTTCAAGCAAAATGGTGCATACTAGGATAAAAGACACATAAGAAAAATAGGTAAGATTCCTGCTACCACTGGTGTGGCATCTCGAAAATTCCTACTAGGTTACCTAGGCAATGTTACAAATGGTTCTGAGTGTCTAGCGTTTTCATAATCCTTTTTACCCTTCTCGAGAGCACGCACTTGGTTCACCTTTGTTCATTCTTCTATCTAGTGAAATCTCTGAATCCATCATTTGCGTTTGGCTTTTGCTGCTTGCAATAATTTTAACAAATGAGTAGTTTAATTATGTAAGCCCTTTGCTTACGATTTTTTTGACGCTGACATTTTAGGAACATATAGTTGTAGAAAACAACTTTGTTATTTTTTGTTCAAGGGAATGTTTCATTCTGTCGTCTATGGACATTTGTTTTAAGTCACCATCGTCCTTTCAGAAACGCCGCACAATTAGAGATGGCCTTAGAATCGGAAGTATCAAGAAGTAACTCCTTTAATCACGATTTTACGTTGCTAGCATTTTTTGAGCATGTTTTCTCTCCAAAGGGTAGGCCAAAGAGCTGGCGGGTTCTTGTTTTGGATGAGCGCTCAACAGCTGTATTATCGTCATGTCTAAGGATGCAAGATATTATGGACACAGGAATAACACGTATATCCCATGTCTTGTTGTTAACATTTCTTTCAAAGTGGTTGAAAACATAACGAAAAAAAGACGGAACCTACCCATGGAAGCTATTTATATTCTTGAGCCGTGCAAAGATGTAATACCTCTTTGATCATAAATGAACCTATGTCTAGTCTGTTAGTCGTCTTCTCAGAGATTTCACAAACAGTCCAAAGAATTATACAGCGGCTTACGTATATTTTACAATATGTACGTTGGTTTGTTAACTGTCAAAAATATGAATAATTTTTAATTATTAAAAGCACTGCAGCTACAAATCCTTATTCTATCATTCATTTTCTTGTTACATTTAGGTCGGTGTCGCTTTATTGTTTTTTTCGTTCTCTTTGTTAGCATGTCCTGATGAAATACTGAAACAAATTTCTGCCTCTGGTTGTGTGAGATACTTCAAAGCTCTGACGGTCCTCAATATTGGTTTTCTACCTATTGAATCCCATATATTTTCTATTAACTGTTATGATACGGCGTGGCTCTACACATGTCCTGTGGATCGTGTGCCAGATGTGAATAACCGGTTGGAGAATCTCGCTGAACACATTGCAACACTGTGTGTAACCTTAAATGAATATCCCAAAATCCGATATAGAAAGTAAGTTGGTCGAAAACTCTGTCCTCAACATCTGGTATTTGTAGCCCCTAAAATCTGTATTATATCGTAAAAGTCTGCTCATTCGATAATTATGATATTTATCCCAGTAAATTCTTGATTAGTTTATTTAGAATCAAGACTTTTGGATAACACAAATTTGAATAATTTCTGCGCTATTTTGCCTCTGATCTCGTTGTTTACCATGCTTTCCTACTACCTTTACTTATATATACCTATATTCGAATAAATTTACACACAATACTCAGTCTTTTATTCCTTTAACATTAAGGCGTTCATGTAACTTTGAACTCGCACAATTTATTCAGCTGAAGCTGGCAAAACACAAGGAAGATAATCCCCAGTTAGGTCAAGTAAGTCTTGATTACTTTCCTGTCCCTGTTTAATGCAATGACTATGATTCCTTTTTCATTATATGAGATCTCGGCCATCTGATAATCCGTTTTATCCCTTTTACAATATAGCTATACTTAACATTAAGCATCATATCACTCCCTTTTGAATATTTAGGTGACACTATGGTTATGGAGAATAGTTAACTCTTTGCAAATCATTCACAGGGCTTGCATAAAGATCGCAGCATTCTCCTTCTGCTGGACAGAGGTTTTGACCCTCTCACTCCTCTTCTTCACGATCTTACATTGCAATCACTGATTCGGGATCTTAAAGAACTCGATGGCAACAGCTACAAGTAGGTGTTAACCTAATCTTTTATCATCTGACAATTTTTTCAATGACGCCATTACGATGGTAACTTCCTCATTTGTGTTGAACTTTAGGTATGGGAAGGATCAGGAATATGAGCTCACAGACAAGGACAAACTATGGAAGGAGTTGCGTAACGAGCATATCGCAGATGTGTCCAAGTAAAAGATACATTATTTCCTTCTCTTAGTGTAACATTAAATCAGATCTCTGCCTACACGGCTTAGAGCGTTTGCAGAGAGCAAACGGCATTTCTTAGCCTCAACAAAGAAGGCGGATGAGATTGCGAGTGGAACTAGTAGTCTACGTGGCTCATTGGAGTCTATTACTAGTGTGGGCACCTCCTCCTATGGTGTGGTGAATTATGGGGCCGATGTACCTCCTGATGCTAACTCAAACGCCTCTAAACTCAGCAGTGCTGCCCATCTGCGTGCCCTTCAAGCCATGGTGCATGAGATGCCGCAGTACCAAAAGGAAGCAGCCAGCTACAACGCCCTCGTCTCCATTACTGACTACTGTCTGTCCGCTTGCCGAGAAAATATTAACACTATTTGTACTGTGGAACAGGTAGGCAAACAAGTGGACCCCACAACTTCATGACCACTTGTAAGAAAAGTACTTAAAATCAGGTGGATCGGAAGAAAACACCCAAGATGATGATCCACTTCACCTCTACGGTGCATGTGCTAAGCGCCTTTCCTCAGTGCCTTGGGAGCATCAACAATTTTGTTTAGTTCCTTGTTAATTTTTCAACCTTCTGCTGAATTGTTTATTGTGCCTCACACAGGATCTAGTCATGGGACAAACCGCGCATGGTGATGCTTTGTCGGATCCGATGATGGCCTTAGTGAATGTGTTGAAGCCCGACTCAATGTCCGAAGTGGACAGATTTCGACTAATTTTGATCTACATCATAACACAAGGTAAATTTTGATCCTTCATTTAAAAATAAGTTGTTGAAGTAGATTGTGTTCAAGTACTTGTATCAAAGTTTTATGGAATTTGTCAACGACACTTGAAGATGTATATGATGGTTGAAAAGTTGTACATTCCCCATAATAAAACACCACAGAGACTTGTCGCTTGTCAAAATGCCACCACTTGTGTAGATATGCACAGTATCTTCCTTGTTGTAACCTCCACGACATCTACCACAGAGTTGACCTCGATGCTGATCGGCTTTACGAACTGTCTAGCAGTGCAAGGTGTGGAATGCAGTCGCAGAGGCCTTTGATGCGAAACATCACGTCACCTCAACTAGCCTCTGCACACTGATGAAAATGCATTAAGAAAATGCTAACTAATCCACGAACACCTTTTGAACTGCTTTTAGGTGGTATATTAGAGGCAAACTTGGAAAAGCTCCTTGACTATGCCAGACTCTCGTTGACCTACAAATCTCTCGTTGCAGCAATGTCCTCCATCATGGGTGCACGGTTGATTACCAGCATTGTACGTACTCCCACGCACCGTCTTCATTCATATCAGTTTTGTTTTTATAAAAAAAAACAATCCCCTCACCTCTATGTTCTAATAGCCTTTGCTAAAGCCAACTCTCCATTTTAGGATGGATCGTTTGATTCACCACTGTTTAGAGGTTTGCCGAGTCTCGCATCGGCCCCTTCTTTCATTCAGCACTACTTGCCCATCAAAGGAAAACGGTTGCATGATGTGGATGAAAACTCCTATGCTCTCTCACGTTGGGTGCCTTATCTTGATGATCTACTTGAGGTAGGCCAAAGGACAGCCTATTGGTAAGGCGGGTGTACACATGCCACCTGTATTGTGCATGCTGATAGGGAATGCAAATGAAGCTTAAAGAAACTGCTCTCTTGTTTTCTTAACAAACTCATCTGTTGTGAAATTCATGTAGTAATGGTGGTCGAAGTAATGACTTTAAATGCCTTAAACAATGTAATTATTATCCAGAAGTGTATCTCGGACAGTCTGGACTCTCAGTGCTTCCCTTACCTGCCGGGTGTTCAGGGATGCTTGTCGAAAGTGGATTCCTCCCTAAAGCCGCCTGACCAATTAGCAACTCCAACCAGTGGTGACTTACGCGGTCCTTCGGCACGTTTCCGTGCACCCTCGCCTCAGCCTCCATCGTCGACTGGGACTAGCGGTATCAGCGGCTCGGCAGGAAGCATACCCGCATCACCCGAAACTAGTAACCGGCATTCGCAGGGTTCTGACAGTGGGCGCAACACTACGATTGCTGATGACTCCATTTTTGGCCAAACTTCCATGTCCGATCACTGTGGTCCACGACTCATTGTTTTTGTGACTGGGGGGATCACTTGGCCGGAAACGCGTGTCTGCTATTCTGCCACCCAAAGGGTACATTTATGCACTTACTATCATGGCAATAAGTATGAAGTGAATTGATTCTTAAGTCGTATTTGACGCCTCGCAGTTGTGCAGGATTGGCACGACAAGATGTGCATACGCAAAGGTAATGCGCCGTCCTAAAAACGCTCTTAACTCTGATAGACTCATCATTGTAATCGAACTGTCTTGGAAAGGTAATAAAAACTAGCATTCCAAATGTGATGATTACACGCTTGATAAAATACTATCAAAAGTTTAAAGGATATTGACAACTCAGTGGAGCTGAATTCTTGCCAGCGGCTCCAGCCAGCGTTAAAAGGTGTCAAAACCTATCGTGTCCCAAAGTACCCAAGACAAGCATTTACTAGTGACTGCATTAACGCCGCCATTGCAATCCAACTTTTTGCATCAGATAAAGGTGCCCCCTCGGTAACTCATAACGCATGACACTTTCATTTCTGTTAGTGCGTTGAGGCGCGCCTGGCAGCAAGCGACAGATCGTCGGGTCCACCAACAGGAATGCCCGTGAAGAATCGTGTTCACCTCGGGAAACACTCACGTAGGTCCGGTGGACTCTCACTATCCTCCTCCCCTCCTAGCAGTCAGCACGTGCTGAAGAACGGCGGTGGAACCGGATGGAATTGGGAGGTTGTCCTAGGGGGAACTGGTGTCCTTACTCCCAAACAATTCATCAGAAATTTGCAGAATCTTGCAGACTACTCATGACACAGACGCACACAATTGGTTGTGGTTACGTGGCTGTGAAGAGAAAGCGAAAAGCCAATTTTTGCTCACCTCACCATAGTGAACATCAGCACATCTCCCCACTATTACTAACTATAACTTGACTATATCTGAATAAAAACGACTGAGATACCACAAAACAACAAACACCAAGTAAGATCTCGCGACTAAACTACTCAAAGAAAATGTTTCTGTACATAACCGAGTCAACTAGTCTGAATTGTCGCTACCAGCTTGGGCAAGCAGTAAATGTGGTCGTTTGTTGAGAGCAAAATCTTTGAGGCGGTGAGCGATTTTCGACGGTGATGAGACTGCGTTTGGACAAGAGTCTAGCTGGCCAGCGAACTGTTGACAGATAAACCGATAACCCTGGAGCGAACTCTCAGCAGAGTTGGTGTATCGACGGTTTAAGAATGACCACAAAGGATGCAAGACTCTGACTCCAAGGGAGGATTGTAGTACAAAGCAGCGGTCGATTTGCGTAGAGTTGGAACGTCTTAACATTGGGATATAACGACAATCCTCAGTCATAACCTATGAGAAAAGAGGGGTACATGAGTTAACAACACATGAGAAGGCTGCAAAACAGATGGAACTGAGCGGTTATGAAGGAATCCATGACAAAAAGTTGAAAAGCCGAATATAGTGAGCAATAAGGAAACTGTTATTGACGTGCTACACCTACGCTGAGCTTGACCAACTTGATTAGAACCAGAATAACGAAAAACACATCAACAAATGTTGACTAATAATAAGCAAATATAGTAGATAGGTAATGAGTAAATTCCACCAAAACCTACAGCATAACGAGCAAGACCGCCAAAGTTGCGCGTCCTTGTAAGGATTTCCTTCTTCTTCAGATCAATAATGGACTCCTCAACAATTAACTCCTTTCGATTAGCCAGAAGTTTTCGCAACCAAAACGGAATGTTACCGAATCCACGCTTGACTAGAATTCGTTTCGTGTACAAAGTATGATCATCAACAAGAACCCTCTCAAGAACGTCTTCATGAAGAACATGAGAACTAGGAAATATATGGATCTACTTTCTTACGCGTAAGGATTAGGATAGCGGGCCCAAAAGAGGGAAGCAACGTAATCCCACGAGTAATCGAGCACCTGTGATAGCGAACCACGCATGTGAATCACAGGCCAGGAAGTAGGATTTATCAATAGTACCTTCACTCCGCCTGCCAAAGGAGCACATCGACTGTCTTCTCCTTGAGTTATGCATGATAAAATAATTAACGTAAAAAATTGCTATGTATTAATAACAAGGAAGACGTCGATACACATTTACCATAGTAACTGTTTAAAAGCACAATAAACTACTGTTTAAAACCACTTACCGTCAAAGGACTATGTTTAGCGTCGTTGTGTTCCGTTTTTAAAGTTCATTGCAGTTATGCCTCCTACTCATAAGGGAGGCCTGTCTGTGGCCGTTCAAAGGCTTCAGCAAGATTATTTGAGACTTGTTCGTGATCCCGTGCCCTTTGTAATCGCCCATCCCCTTCACACGAATATTTTTGAGTGGCATTATCTGGTATGCGGACCCCCTGATTCCCCTTATCATGGTGGATTCTACCATGGAAAGCTGATTTTCCCTAGAGAATACCCGTTCCGACCACCTTCTATATACATGATTACCCCGAACGGTCGGTTTGCGTGTAATACAAGGTATTCTTTTTCTTACTTCTTGTTCGCCCCATAGACTTTGTCTTTCCATAAGCGATTTTCATCCCGATACGTGGAACCCGGCCTGGTCAGTTTCAACAATTCTGACAGGTCTTCTCAGTTTCATGCTTGAAGACACTCCAACTATGGGTAGCATAGCAACCTCCACTTATGAGAAACACATCATGGCCAGGGATAGTGCCGAATTTAATCTCAAGGATGAAGTCTTTGTGGAACTGTTTCCTGATGTTGTGAGGGTATGTAATTTCTCCATTTCGTTAGCAAATAGCTTTCTCATTGCGTCTAGTCTTTTGCTCCTTCTGAAACACCTTATAGGTCTAAATAGAATGTTGCAGTGGCTGCGTTTTGATGCACTTTGGAATTTTAGTACTGTATCATGAGTTAACTAAAAAGACGTTATTGCTCGCCATCGTCAGGCATTACCTTGGTTTTGTGAAGTATTTGTTGTGGTTATCTTTTGCCTACCCTATGTAGCGTTTGAAGTACGCGCATTTATCATTTCACCATTTTTAAATCCTGCACATAGTATCCATAGATGTCCGGGATTTTCAGTTCGAACTGTGTGCATTTCAGTCTACAAATCACTTTCAGTGCTCCTGCTCCTCACTCAATAATCTGTCACTTATGTGTCGCTTTTTGGTGCTCCCATCTCTACGTTAACTTCTGCATTCACAGAGACTTAATTCTTGAAACCATTGACTGCCTTGCTTCCAACGATTTGCATGAACTGCCTTTCCATTAGTCGAACGCGACTGAGCCAACTCAACTTTTCTTGAATGCATAGGCTACCAATTTCCCGTCGTTTATGCTTCATTTCTGGCTCCAAATACCACATGCCTAGCACGTCACGTGACTGATAATCTTGTGGCCTTAACTTTCATTGTGTTGAGTCCCTGAGGGGATTTTTCGTAATTGTGCCCCAGTTTTGGGATGTGATCGACTTTTATTAGCACTGGATCCTATCCTGCCTGACGATTCCGAATACATCATGTCGTTATTTTTCATATCCTAATCTTTGTTTTGTTAATTTGTCATCATTTCCGAACCAGTCACAAATCTAGAGCTGTTGCACTAACTTTACTTTAATAATAGTAAGGTCTTTGTCTTAACTTCCAGGAAATAAAGGCGAAACAATTGCTTACCCAAGCCAGTGCAAATTCCCATTTATCATCTTCTCGAGGCGGCATTCCTGCGGTTGCAGATGTAGGCAACTTCATCAATTCTCAACGTGGAACTGGCGGTGGTAGAGGCGGCCAGCTGCCTTTTGTAGCCGTGTTCATCCTTTTTGGCATCTTTGCGATCTCCGTCAAGGTGGTAATGGAGTTCCTTGGTGATTCTGTCGGATAAGGTCTCGATAGTTATATCCTCTGCCCTTATTCTCCTTTCCCCTTTCCTTCCCTCTTTTTTTCCGTCCCGCCTTCTAACTGGTTAATTCATTTTACACATTTTTGAAGAACTTGGCCCGTTACTTCCTTTTCCTTCCCTTTCTTCCCCGCTAAAACCTCTATCCTCTTATCAGTTTTATTATTTCCCTTTTTGCTCATTCGTGACATCATTATTGGAATGCACTTATCACAAATTTGTTTTTCCTTGGGGTAACTAGCGTGCTCTTGCAGTAAACTGATCCAATGTCAGGTCAATTGGCTCGCCAAGTCGAGTTACTTCGTCTAAAAATTATAATTTCGTTATTTGTGTTTTGTGTCTGAATTTATCGCCATGCTAGTTTGGAGTGACACTGCGTAATACGAAATCTCGAGTGGTCGGCACGTACTAATGAGGGGTGGACAATGCTCGTGCCCTTGCAAACTGCGTAAAATATTTATTTGCTCCATTTTCCAATTTGTCCAGTCGAGGCATGATGCATTTGGTGTGGATCAAGGCCAAAGTTTGTCCTTATTTAAACGTTGCAACCGTTGCTTGTGTTTCACCAACAATGTCCGCTTGGTAGCCATGTCGACATCTTTGAGAATTAACTTCTAATTTCATGTCTGTTCATTGACATTGCATTCGTCAATGGACGTGGACGTGCGTGTACGATTTTCATGTTCTTTCTCTGCATCGATCGCATAATTTTTTTTAAACTTGCCGCTCTATGCGAGTAGCACATGGTCACCTCTGCCTTTGTGTAGATGAACTTACGCATTGCCCTACCGTCGCCCCCCATCTTTAGCCACACAAAATTTTCTGTTCCTCCATACACACCATGGGACCATCCCTATACCAAATGGATTCTTAACACCTTTCGAAGTCGAGCAAATGTTCGCTTAACTGCGATGGGTCGGGAGCACCCTGAAATCTTCCAACACATTTTTCAAATTCCTGACACGCCAGAGAAGATAACCTGTGACAACAGTGATTTTGAGGCTATGTACAAGAGGTCAACTTTGCTCTACCTGCGTCCGCTTTCTTTGGCCGTCTACATGAGGAGACTGGATGTCATCAAGGTGCTCATTGACAACCAACTTGTCGATAACGCCGAAGTAGGCTACGCGACAGACACCAGTGGTCGACCAGAGCACGGTGACGAGGTTGAATTACGCGAAGTTCGACCGATGACCATCGCTGTTAGACGTAATATCCTGGAGGCCCTTCCACTCTTATTTAGTAGTCATGCTCAAACACTGAAGGCCTTCGATCCATTCACTCTACGGTATGCCAACAAGTGGGTAGAAAAGTGCAACAAATTCAAGGACGTACTCGATTATACTATCAGCGTAGTACGTAAAAAACGTTTTCTTCCGACCGCTCGCGTCTTCGAAATCCTGGTGCACCGATGTCCTGGCTACTGCAGTGCTAATTCAGCCCAGTCAATGTGCGCCAGGCATGGGGGTTTGCGATGTTCTCTTTTCCAGCGTCTCGCAAGGTACCTCCTCTCAGAGGCCGGAGGAAACCGTCTCGCCCTACCGTTACTGCAGTCGTTGGATCAACTAATTCGCCATAAGGGCTTCTATAAGGTATCTAAGAATGTGGACAGCGCTTGGACTCATCACTACTCCTTCATTGATATTGAAGAGAATTGGGACAACATGTTAGTACCACTGAAGGATCGCTTGATTACGCTAGCTCTCATGTTTAAGGTACATGAGGCACTTCAAGAGAAGGCCAAACCCCTTACTCTATCATACACTAGTAGACTCATTTTCGAGATGGTAAGCAGTGTCGGCTGTGGACTTGACTTAATGACAACTCCCATTGCCGAACTGCATCAGTCAATCCAATTCCTCCTGCAGTCCGGTTTAAACACCTTCGAGCATAGAGGTGTCACCGAAGAGGGCGACCTAGAGCAATCAAAACGAAAGCGATCTGGCAGTCCCAAGACTTCGCTGAACCTAAAACCTCCGACCAAAAAAGCCCTCCAAGTTTTGTTGTATAATCTGAATTATTTCATTTCAAATAATCATTTAAAATGTAGAATAAGTAAAACGAGGACTTTGGCCGGCAACAGTTGTAGAAATCCGGCAAAACCTATTCGGTGTTTGATGTGTATGAAGGAGGCAAAGGAAAAGTCGATACAAATGCAACCCCTTTCTGGTAAAGTGCAAGATAGCCCAGATGGAATAAACACACAAGTAACCTTTACTACTACCGATTTTGAGCAAAGCACTGCAGAGGCATCCACCACGCTCATTCCAACGTGTACAGTGAATCAGGCTTCAGGCACCATAATTGACGAAATTATGCATTATGAAGAAAGTCTAGGACTTGAAAAACCAAATTCATCACAAATTCTCGATAACAATGTTCGTGACCTGTCTA